TATATATATATATATATATATATATATATATATATATATATATATATATATATATATATATATATATATATATATATATATATATATATATATATATATATATATATATATATATATATATATATATATTAATGCATTTAGAGTAAAAACACCAAAAAAATGTACATATTTTATTTTTTAATATTTAATACTAAAAATGCCTTTTTTACAAATATATCATATTTTATTTTATTTTTGTATGTAAATAATGAATATTATATGAATTAATTAATTAATATACATTTTGATTAAAATTAGGGTTTTTGCCCTAAATTTGAAAATACTCCAAAAATAATACCTTTTTATTTTTCTTTTATTTATATATATAATACTTTTTTTATATAAAAACCTTTCTTTTTGCATTTTGCATATTTATTTCAATTTCTATCTATTTATACAATTAAATTACCTTGCAAATATTCAATGTTGATGTAATAGTCTTAGGTTTAAATTCTTGTCCAAATAAACCCCATTTGAAACATTGTACCCCCCTCCCCATATTATTGTGATGTAATAGCGTAGGAATTTAAATTTCGCACTTTTAATGCTTTCTAAACATACTATGCTAGAATTAGGGTTTTGTATGCGAATAAAAATGAACAAAAATAGTTGGACCTAATACAAGATAAATGAGCATGAAAAATGGACAACACATTTCACACTTGCACCCCTAGGGTATTTCACTTTGTTGCCTTCAAGTAATTGGGCCATATTGCATGTTGAACTTCCTTGGGCAAAACAAAATAATCAAATGATCATTGTCCCTCAAAATGTTGCTTAAATGAATGATCAAGCCCCTTTCAAAGAAAATTGCCCAAAGACATTTAACACTATTGCAACTATGGTCTAAACGATGACCCGCGCCCGTCCCTTCCACATCCTAAGACAAGATTGTCCACCAAATGCAATGGTGGAACAAAATTGTCAAAAGGTTTGAAGCATAAAAAAAATCTTTGAGAAAACTTTAGGGTAGATAAGCTCTTAAGTACTTGTCAACTTTCCAAGAAAACACTTGCCTAATTTCAAAATCCACTTCACAAACACTTTCGAAACAAACTTTCAAAAAACCTTGAAACATCTTTTCAAAAAGACAAACACCTTTTGTAAAACATTCGAGTAAAGAATTGTTACAAGGGTAGCCTATGCAAGGCATCTTTTTCAAAACCTTTTCAAAGCCACACACAAAGCACCATTTCAAACAAATGAGAACTAAGGCAAGTTGATCTAAGCAAGTACCTAAGAGCCCATGGATAACCATGGATAGAAGGGGTGCTAATACCTTCCTCTTCTATAATCTACTCCCCGAACCCAAGAAAAATCTCAAAGGTTTTTGCTGTGCTTTTTTAAAACCTTTCCTTAGGATAAAATAAAAAGTCGGTGGCGACTCTTGCTCAACCGAAACATTTGCGAAAACAAACGCAAAACCCTAGTCAGTTCTCCCACCGTATCACAGCATGCTATGATCGAGATAATTAGATTGTGAACTTTCTCATGTATTTTTGGCATAATGATACTTATTATTATAAGATTAGGAATTGATATATTTTGGGTTTTTTGTACTACTTGACATGATTATGGAACTCGCATTTTACATGATTATGGAACACACATTTTTTTGGATATTATAATGCTTATTTGATGTTAAATATTTTTTATTGAAATTATTTTTACTATATTACAAAGTGATAGAAAATAAAACAAAAAATAATACTATAAATAAATATATTAAAGAAGAAATAATTTAAAGAAAAAAATAACACAAAAAAAAACTATATTTAAAATTTTTTACATAGATAATAATTTAAATAAAAAATATATATAATAGAAAAATAAAAACAAAATCAAGACATAATCAAAAGTCATGGCGACAGTACCGAACCGTCGTAATCAACAATTAAAAATAATCAACAAAAGTCATGACGGTATCGAACCGTCGCCATAAACAATTTAATCAATTTCAAAAGATATTCACGACAGTATCGAACCGTCGCCATCAATAATTAAAAGAAACTCAAAAGATAGTCACGACGGTATCAAACAGTCACCAATACTTGATTATGTCAGCTCCAAACCCGTCGTAAACTTGAACGACAGTTTTTGTAACCGTCGCGAAATAGGTTGGGGACACACACTTCTGCGACGGTAAAGCAACCGTCGTGGAAAGCAAATTGCGATGGTTTTAACCGTCGTAATCTACAAAAATACCTGTCGCAATCTGCCAATTTTCTTGTAGTGGTATATCATCAATCAACAAGAGGATTCATAACACACCAGATATACACAAAATCATAAGAAGAAAAGGAACCGTCACTACCATCTCATGTCATAATCACCATTTAAAGAATCAATTATTCTCCCTTACCTTAGTTTGGAGCTTTGATCCTTCAACAATAGTGAAATTCTTCCTGTCTCCCTTTTCCCTAGCTTCTCTTCTCTTCTCTTCTTTGTTTCTACATGATAGTAGTTTCTCCCAAAATGCTTCTACCACTCTCCCTAATTATTCCTTATTATAATAATAATAATAATAATATTAATAATAATAATAATAGTAATAATAATAATAATAATAATTATTATAATATTAATAATAATAATATCATTAGTGACAAATACTCTATTTAACCAACAAATAATTTTTTTATTAATAATAATGAGATATTTTATCCTTCATCAGAATTATTATTGTTATAATATTATTCAAAGCCTACTCTAATTATCGAATCATACTAAGTTCTCATTCCACCTTAGTCAAACCAACATAGTTCTTCAATTTCACTTATCAAATGACTAAATATTTAAATGGGGTGTTACAATATCTCTCGGCCACAAAGAGAAAAAGGAAAATAGTTAGAAGATCCTCTTACTTCAAGTCTGTTTGGATAAAAATCTCTTGAGTTAGACATCTATTAGACAACACCACAAACATTATCAGCAAATATACACGCTCTCATTTAATCTCTCAGTTTCTCATTAAATTTGAATATGATAATCATATAATTCACAAAGTTTCAAATAACTTAATCATACAATTTCTCAAAATCTACATTAAAAATAAGACAAATTTTTCTAGATTTTTTGGACAAATCAACCACCTCATTGACACCTACTACTCAATCAACTAACATACTCCCTCCAAGAAAAACCAATTGATTAAGAGATATGAGTTTCTACATTTAACTCAAGTCAAATGATCAACATTTTATCGACCGATTTATACAAAGATCCAACAAATTTTTTTTTGACTTAAATTCGCTCAAATAAGAAGGAGAGTTAAGTTAACCTTGTGTATCAAAGTCACAAGATACAAAATATGAAGCAAAGTAGTGAAATTAATTTAACATGATCTCCAATTCATCTCTTACAAGATTCCAATATTATAAAATAAACAACTAAAAAATGAGTAGAATTGTTCAAGAGTTTCTCTATATTTCAATCTCAAGATTTAATAGGGTAAATACCAACATTTCCACTTTTTGAATTATCATTAAAGGGGCCAACAAACCAATCCTTTTCGAGATACAGGTTGGAGAGGGAAAGCCATCTCCTACTGTTTACACGGACCCTCTTTTTGAGGATTGTCAACTTCAATCTGTCATACCATACCATGGCAGCAAGCTTATTTTCCAAAAGCTGACTACCTATTTCTTTAATAAATGAAAATGGAAGAGTGATTTATGGTCTCTCATCTTAACAATTTATTTTTATGTATCTCTTTTTAGACTAAAGTTACCTAAGGTACTTAACAAGGTACATTATTTATGATTTTTAAAGTTAGATACAACATTAATTATTAATGTATCAATAATATTTTTATTTATCTATTGCAATAATAGAAGTTAGCCAAATGAGAAAATACATAAAGTATAGTATAAGTAAAATTAAACAATGATAGAGCAAAAGTAATAAATATTAAATTTTTTATTTACAATATAAAATATTAAACAATATTTAATAAATCATTCACCTAATTATTTTATGAGATTAAATAATATGCATTGTGAATTTAAATTTTTTACACAACACATGTATCACAATCATCCATATAAAATATTTTAAATGTGATTAAGACAAAAATCAAACAGTAATAAATATCTGATGATTATAATTAATTGATGGTATAAAATTGCTTTATACTGTTAGTGTATATCAATTAGAGAAAAAGAATGATGCACCAATAATATAAAATAATTATACATTATTAATAAATTATATATTTAATTAAATCATTCTTTTATTTTAAATTTTTTTTAATGACATTATAGATTAATAATTTTCTATTAAATAATAATATAAAATTATTTTATACTATCAATACATATCCATTAAATTCTATCAATTAAATTCTTATTTTATTATGGTTGAAATTAATCTTCACCATTTTTAAAAGAAATAAATGGTTAAATTTAGAGACGGATAAACAAGATAAACCAATACAGTTTTTATTCTTAAACTTTTTAATATTTTACAACGAATTTAATATATATATATATATATATCAGTAGTGTAAAAAAAATTTACACAATTATCCAATAAAAAACTATAAATTTACTATATCATTTAAGTTTTTTTAAATTACTAATATGATATAGTAGAATATGCGATATTCATTAAATGACGATATAAAATTATTTTACACTATCAATATATTTTCTATTTTCTCTTTATTTATCTTTAAATAATTTTCTAATTGTTTTGAAAATAACTCATTTGTATGAAAATTTGTATAAAAATGCGTGTTAACAATCGCACATCCAACAATATAAGACACAAATTTAGGTTTATATTAAAGAGAGTGCATTGCAGGAACGAACACAAAGAAAGCAGTTAAGATATTAGAGATAACAACAAATGGAAGAAAGCCAAAAAGAAGAATTACAGTGAAATACAAAGAGAACAAAGTAGCCTAAAGACACATATATAGTGCTAGGGCTTTACTAATACATGACTTTAAACATGAAAAGTTAATTATTGATGCAGTTGAAGTCTTCATACTCCTCAAGGGAGGCAAGAATGTCAAGAAAAGAGGTACAGTTACATTTAGGGCACTTTGGGTTTTCTTCTGATGACATAACATACAAGAAGCATCTAGGACAACCTACGAGAGCCATGGCCTTTATTATTGTTGGACCATTTGTTTCTTTACCTTCTTCGGTTGGTAGGAGAAGTGATAACTCACAAGTTAAATCTGATGTATAAGATATTGAAGATGATGAAGAGTTTGGAGGTGATGAAGAAGCAGCCATTGCTTGTGGTGCTGGCGGTGACTCCATGTTTAGTCTTCTCGAATCCATAGATCTATATCAACCACTTATAAGAATAATATAAAATGATAAGCAGAATGTTACTTTATATATATAGAGAGAGATATTGTTACTCTATATATATATATATATATATATATATATATATATATATATATATATATATAGAGAGAGAGAGATATTGAATTGAACTCTATTGAGTCTAAGAATAACGTCTGGTTCGACAGGATTTGTGCATGTCATTGAAGTATGTTTACATGCTGGTGTCGAAGACCTACATACTGTAGTCGAAGTGTATTCTAGTATGTGGGTGTCGAAATGTTAGGGTTGTTAGTATTTTGAATTGGGCTTATTTGTTATATCCAATTGTTTAAGTTAGCTAGTACCCTAAGATAGTTTGTAATGGATATTTGTGAAAAAGCCCATTAGTTTAGTATGTTAGGTTTATTATAAATAGCATACTAGTCTCTCATTATTGCATATTGCAAAACCTAATTCAGGAAGAGAGAGGTTATTTGTTATTCTTGAGTACTTGTAATCTGATTTAAAGAAAAAAATAAAGAATAGCAGTTAAAACTAATCTTTATTGTTCTTCGTGTTCTTCCATCTTTTCTATCCTAATTATTTCTTGTTCATAAAGAAACAGTTTATACTTTTATTCAAAGATATTATGTTTCACAATAAAGTAGTGCAGTGAGCGTGGAGAAGATGCCTTCTGTAACGTCCCATTTAAATACTTAGTCATTGTTTATTGATTTTGAATTTGCTTTGACATTTTGTGGTGAAACTTAGTTTTGAGGGATAATACTATTATTATTATTATTAATATTATAGTTATTATTAAGATTTTTAATATTGTTATTAATATTATTATTATTATTATTATTATTATTATTATTATTATTATTATTATTATTATTATTATTATTATTATTATTAGTGGAGTGTTAGTAATAATAAAATACAATAGAAGAGGGTTAGACCATTTGTGGAGAAAAACTATTGTCACGTAGAAATAGAGAAGAGAAGAGAAGAGATAACTAGGGAAAAGGACATTCTCTATGTTGAAGCATCAAAGCTGCAAATTAAGGTAAGGGGGGTGAATGGGTTCTCTAAATTGATTATAATAATATGAGAGGGTAGTGAGGGTTCCTTTCCCTCTTTAGATTTTTCATGAATGATTTGATGAATGTTTTCTTGGTCTGAATTTTATTGTTTTATATGATTCTTATGTGAAATTTGTTAACCCAATGATGTTATTAATGTGTTGCTGTTGTGATTATGCTGTTTTTGTGTTGTTCATAAAAATTCCAAATCTGAAAAATTGTAGATCTAGGGGTGTGATGAAAATTGAAAGAATTGATGTAGAAATTGGTGTAGGATTGTAGAATAACAAAGCAGAATGAAATCTCTAAGTTAATATGTGAAAGAATGTTGTTTTGGATCCAATTCTGGAGGTGGAAAGTGCTAAAAACGAGTGAAAATCATTCTGATGCGAAACAAAGTTCTGTTGGTCACAGACTGCCCTTACGCGTAAGGCAGACAGCATTACGCGTAATGCAGACAGCATTACGCGTATGACAGGAGCGTTACACGTAAGACATGGCAAGACAGAGGGCATTACACATATTGTAGGCAACATTACGCGTATGGAAGGCAGTACATAAGGAATTACTTGTAATGCAGGCAACATTACTCGTAAGGAAGGGCGTGCAGCAAAGAAATACGCGTATCGTAGGCAGTAATACGCATATGGGAAGGTGAAGGTGTAAAAATTCCCGTTTTTACGATTTCTTCTCGTTTTCGCGTGTGGAGTGTATTCTCTCGATCCATAATGACTAGTAAGGCTTATGTGGACATAAGAAGGCTAGTAATAATAATAAATTAAGTTTAAAACATTGGATTTTATGTGGAATTTATGTTGTACAATGACGATGATGATGGTCTGTATTGACGAATGTTGAAGGCTTATGCCTTGTGGTTGCATAATTATGTTGTTGCATATGATGTCGCATGTTGCATAGTGATGAGGGCTTATTCCCTGTTGTTGGCCTGTAATGGAGTTGTGATGAGGGCTTATGCCCTGTTATTGCCAAAATTGGCATACGAGATGAGGGCTTATGCCCTGATGGTACCCCATGCATTGAGTTGATGTCGGTCTCATTGCATTGCATTGATTTGAGTTGATGTTGCATTACCTGAACGATATGTTATGTTGCGGAGTATTTTGTGATGTGTGGATTGTGTGATTAATACTCCTTAGCATGTGATATTCACTGTATATTTATTGAATTAAATTCCCACCCCTTTTGTGTTTTTGTGTCTGTGCTCCCCTAGGAGTACAGATAATCAGGTACCCGAGTAGTGCTTGGAGTGAGTGTTACCTGATCGAGTTCTAGGAGTCGCTCTGATACGTAACACGAGAACTGGGAATCTTTGTTATGTTTTGTTTTATTTAATTTTTTACGTATCTTTCATTTGACTTATGTTGGACCACACATTTGTGGAGTTTTATTTGTTGTTGAAGTTGTAATGACATGGAATTCAACTAATTTTATTATTCCGCTGCCGAATTCATTATGTTCGAATAAAAGAAGTAATAAAGTGACTTTAAAATTTATGAATATTTGAAGTATGTGACGCCATGCTTATGTACTATGATATATGTTAATGTAATTGCTATTATGGAAAAGTGGGGTGTTACAATTGGTATCAGAGCAGATCGGTATGTCTGGCTAGGTTGTTGAGTCGTTAGTGTAGTGTAACAGTGGAATAATGTCAATGTTTTTATATCTAGCCATTGTTTGATGTTTTGATGTGAAGCAGAGTAATGGCTAGAAGAGACAATGGTGCAGTTGCTAATGCATTACAGGCTTTGGCTCAGGAAATGAAGAATCATCCTAATGGTGGTGGGAACGATGAGACTCGTGCTTTGGAAACTTTCTAGAGGAACCATCCACCTACGTTTAAAGGGAAGCATGATCCTGAAGGAGAGTAGGAGTGGCTCAAGGATATTGAAAGGATATTTGGAGTCATGGACTGCTCTGATGCACAGAAAGTGTGTTTTGGTACAAATATGCTGACAAGAGAGGCTAATGACTGATGGGTTGCTACTCACCAGAGACTGGAAGGCACAAGTGAGGCTATTACTTGGATTTTGTTTCGTAGGGAATTCTCGGTGAAGTATTATCCAGAGGATGTCTGTGGGAAGAAGGAGATTGAATATCTGGAACTGAAACAAGGAGATTTAACGATAATTGAGTATGCTACCAAAGTCATGGAGTTGACAAACTTTTATCCTCACTACGTGGAGGAGAAAGTTGAATTTTTTAAGTGCGCCAAGTTTGAGAATGACTTACATTCTGAGATCAAGAAAGAAATTGGGTATCAGCGAATCCGTAAATTTTCGGATTTGGTGAATTGCTGCAGAATTTATGAGGAGGACATTAAGGCTCACTACAAAGCTGTAACTGAGAAAAGAGGTGGGCAACAGCAGAATTATGGGAAACCTTACAATGCTCCAAATGACAAAGGCAGATAGAAGGTTACTGATGGTAGAAGAACCAGTGGGGGAAGTGCTCCTGTTGACGTTGTATGTTACAGACGTGGGAAGCCAGGTCACTGAAGTAATACATGTACTGGAGAAGTGAAGAGGTGTTTTCGATGTGATAAGGCTGGGAATGAGGTAGCTGACTGTAGACACAAGGCAGTGATATGTTTCAACTATGGCGAGGAAGGACACATCAGTACTCAGTGCCAGAAACCAAAGAAAGCTCAGAGTGGTGGGAAAGTTTTTGCTTTAGCTAGAACTCAGACATCTAGAGGAGACCGTTTGATTAAAGGTATTTGCTTCATTAATAGTACTCATTTAATTACTATTATTGATACTGGTGCTACGCATTGTTTTATTGCTGCTGATTATGCTAAAAAGTTGGGTCTCAAGTTATCCTCTACGAATGGAGAAATGGTTATCGAATTTCCAGCTAAGGGTTCAGTGACTACTTCTCTAGTATGCTTGAAGTGTCATTTGTCCATCTATGACATAGACTTATTTGTTGATCTAGTTTGTTTACCGTTGAGTGGTCTGGATGTAATTTTGGTATGAACTGGTTGGAATATAATTATGTTCATATTAACTGTTACAACAAACATGTGTGGTTTTCTACTCCTGATGAGGAAGAGGAAGCGAGATTCTTATCTTCTAGACAGTTGAAGGAATTGATGCAAGATGAAGCTCTGGTATTTTCATTAATGGCTTCCTTGTCCGTTGAGAATCAGGCTTCTTTAGATAAGTTACAAGTTGTGCATGAATTTCCAGAAGTTTTCTCAGATGACATTACAAACGTGCCGCTAAAAAGGGAAGTAGAATTTTATATTGATCTTGTTCAGGGTACCAAACCTGTTTCTATGGCACCCTATAGAATGTCAGCATTTGAATTAGCAGAATTGAAGAAACAACTAGAAGAATTGCTTGAAAAGAAATTTATTAGACCAAGTGTATCACCTTGAGGAGCTTCGGTGTTGTTGGTGAAAAAGAAGGATGGTAGTATGAGACTCTGTGTGGACTACCGGTAATTTAACAAAGTGATGATAAAAAACAAGTATTCACTTTCGAGAATAGATGATTTGATGGATCAATTGGTAGATGCATGCGTGTTTAGCAAGATTGACTTGAGGTCGTGATATCACAAAATTCTAGTAAAGGGTGAGGATATTCAGAAGATAGCTTTTCGAACTCGATAGGGACACTATGAATATTCAGCGATGCCTTTTGGTGTCACTAACACACCAGGTGTGTTTATGAAGTATATGAACCATATCTTTTATACTTATTTGAATCAATTTGTGGTAGTATTCATAGACGATGTCTTAATATATTCCAAATCAGAAGAAGAACATGTTGAGCATTTGCGAATTATGCTGCAAGTGTTAAAGGAAAAGAAGTTATATGCGAAGTTATCTAAGTGTGAGTTTTTGTTAAAGAAAGTCAATTTCCTTGGTCATGTTATTTTAGGTGGTGGAATCGTGGT